CAGCTCCGAGGATCAGACACTCATCCAAACATCCCATCCCACACAGCAATATTGTGATTTCTCTCGGTTTCTCATGGCTTTACACACTCAGCATCACTCAGACCCTCCTGGCTCATTTGGGTTTCCAGGTCTCCAAAGTGCAGGAACAGCACCAACATCGTTCTGACCGTGCCTTAATCACAGCGTGGAACATCTCTACCAAAAACACCAACCACATTTCAGTTTCTTCCTCCTCGTAATTACAGAGGACAGTGAATGGCTATAAAATCTTATTAACTTGGAGGAAAAAAAACAAAAAACCCAAACTATGAACCTGTGACCAAGTCCATGTGAGCAGAGACGACATGGTAACTCTTCACAGGTCAGAGCACAACCCCTTGGTACCAGCAGGATTTTGGATTTCTGTCAGCTGAAGGTCTGGCTGGTCAGACCTGCCCGAGTGAGACCCAGAAGCCCAAAATCTCCTGCCAGAGCCCAGCCAAGGTGCAGGCACCGCTCGCCCTTCTGAGCCAATCTGGTGCTATTTTGCAGTATAAACCTCTCATCTTCRCGGTGCAGAGAGCTACAATCAAAATCACAAAAAACTCATGTAATTTGAGGTATTTTCTCCGAGCTTGTTACACATCTGCAAAGGATCTTATCTTTCTCTTGCTAGAATTGTTACTCAAGGGTCAGCATTAAAGGCTGGACTTTATGACCTCAGAGGTCTTTTCCAAACCTCAAAAACCCTGTGATYCCATTATTGGAAGCAGCTGCACACTGGGGGCTGGCACAAACTTTCCTGCACCAGGTACTTACACAARTCAATAAATTATAACCAAATTAACACCACCAAATTAGCACCCTGCGGTGCTCTGAATACATTTTTAATAACTTTTGCCTTTGAAGTGCTGTGGTTTGGGGCTAGAAAAGCAATAATGTGCAGTGACACTGACCTTGGAGCTGAGGTAGGGACGTCCTGCTGCCCGCAGCGAGCCCGGAGTGTAAAGGGAACAGGAGGCTGAGCACCCACAGGAGCCCAGGGAACATGAGACGGGCAACAGGAGCTCAGGAAAACCAAAATAATCGCTGCAGGGGCCAATCCTGCCCTGCTGAGTGGCACTTGCCAGCACAGGGTGCCCTTGAGGACGTCAGCAGGACGTGGCAGCAGCGGGGTGACAGCAACACCATCGTCTCTGTGATGCCTTAGGATTTTTAGTTTCTCTATTTTCATGCATCTGTATTCTTGTACTTCCCKAGTACARCACTWAAACTACCGTTCTTTCATCTTTAGACAAAACAATCCCTCTCTGAACCTGAATCCAAGGACACCTCAGAGCCCCAAAATATGGAAACAACAGCGAGTTGGGGGGGGAACAAGTTTGGGGTGGGTGACATCATCACCTGTAAAGATCATTGGAGAATTAAGACCCAATATGTTGATAAGGCAGAACTTATAAAAGGTGAAGATCTCGTGACCCGGTGTCCATTTTTGGGTGTAGCCTCAGGGGGAGGCTTTGTCTGCCCTTAATGTACCAGTAGACCTGTTAGGCCTGGATTAAAGTTGTCTATTCTCATTCTCTTAAGTTTGTCTGGCCTCTCTTTCAGATCAGCCTGATTGATAAGGCATCATCTGCGGCCCCTCTGCGGTGCCAGCGCCCACGTCAGCGATGGCAGGGCACAGGGACACGGCTGGACAGGCTGCTCCTGCCCTGAGCACTCATTTAGGAGCAGCCAGGACAGAAAAACCGAGTCCTGCCTGCCTGAAAATCCCACAGAGACACCCAGAGCGGGGTAATTCTGTAATTCCACCCGCACACAGCTCAGGGGGAAATGGCTCAGGGCAGGGAACAGGACCCAGGGCCAGCTGAGAGCACTGAGGGGATTTTGGCCTTTTTTTATCCCTGATACTTTTTAATTCATGGCATTAATCTGGGCTGTTTGTAAGGCAGAGAAACAGGAAATGAAAAGGGAGGCCTCTGAAGCCTCACATTCAGAATTGCTATTATTATATTTCTATATTGCATTTACGCTTGCTGTATCACTATTGCTACACAGCAGCAAATTGCAGTAAGAAATAACACATGATGGCTGGGAAAGCATGAAAGAATTATCAATTTCATTCACCTGGCTCTGCTCCCACCAGAGCTGAACATGTGTCAAGGCTGACAGAGGAGCAGAGGCCAGCTCCGTGCAGCTTTTAAAAGTCTTAGGCTTGAAAATCCTTTTCCCATTGTACCTTTAATATTCTTTTAATTYTATATAGCAACTTACCGAACCCACATTTCAGATTTTTGGGACTTTACAAAACATAGAYTTCTCTTCCTCAAGAATGTCATGAGTTGTTTGGGCAAATGAGAGCCACACCAACCCATCACAGCTAAAACCAAAGCAGCCATTCCAGATCAATGCATCTGCAAACACCCTCCCTTAACCACCCCAATTTTTCATCGAGACAGCACTGAGTTCCTGGTGTTGATAAAGAAGAAAAAAAACAACTGTGGATTTCTTGAGGCAACATGAGTAAGGAAATACGGGCACCACAAATCCACAGCTCATGATGGAGGCACATGCCTAATTTTACTTTTTTTTTTTTACCAAAAGCAGCTTTTTTCATAAAGGCTTTGAGCAGATCAGGGCTGTTCCTGGCAGCAGGTGATGCTGTGAGGTGCCTGGCTGGGCTGTGCAGAGTTCAAGCTGTTTGCTGGGAGAACAGAGGATGCCCACAAACCCCAGGCTGTGAATTTACAGCACAAACACCTGGAAAACACTGTCAGCAAGTTCCCTAATGATTYGTGGAAAATATATCATTAATACTTAGAAAATAGTTTGGCTTTATTATTGAAAGTAATTTATTACACAATGTCCTGATCCATCAGCAGCTGCTGTGCTCTGGTGCAGCAGCAGCTCCTGCTCTTCAGCTTTTCATTAAGTAGAGCTCAACAAGACCCAACCAACGTTTCAAAAATAACCCCAGCTATTTTAAGTTATTGAAGTTGCTCTTCACAGGACATCCACSACAGAGCAGAGGAAAGGCTCTCTAAAATTAGCAGTGTGTCTTCTGGCTAAATGGAGGAGGAAAATTTGCAAAAGCAGTAATATCCAAAATCTAAAATTTTTTTTTTATTATTTTTTTTTTTAAAGTTTGTTTTTTCTTTTGTTTTGTTTTCTCAGCTGCATTGCAGACACAAATGAATCAGTTTTGAGATTTTGATATTTTCTGGGAGTTCAAACCAATAATGAAACATTCAGATACCTTGAACTCTGGGCACCTTCTCTCTTTCCACCACGGTGATCCAGCATTTCTTTGCCATGGAAACTCCAGGAGGAAYGGTTAGAGAAGGGAAAAGATGCTCTTTTTTCAGATGGTTTTCCCATTGGATATGAAATTTTAGCAGCAAACAAAATGGAATGCAAAGTACTGGTAAGACTTTGTGTCTTCTCTGTCTGAAAAAGTTACTGGCTCTGCTCTGCATGAAACAGATCAYGGATCCAGACATGATTTGTACATATTGCCCCCAATCTCTACAAACACAGGAAGGGTGGAGAGAGAGAAGAGAAGCTTTTARCAACAATTCTGTCAGAGTTTCTGGCCCATCCACCTCATCCAAAGAGCAACACATGGTGCAGGTGCCACTGCAGTGATTTCTGCTGCCACTGCATTTACCAAGCTCTGTGTGTCCAGCAGTTGGGGAACTGGAAGAAAAACCAGTCTTTGTTTCAGTGCTCTTTGAAAATAGAATTTTATTCTATTGAATTTCCTAGATTTTCTTTAAAGGCTATGCAGAAATAGGGCCAGAACAGTGYAATGTATGATTCAATCTTCACAACTCTCATTCGTTATCTCTGCATGAACAGCCAATTTCTTCAAGAGTTGAGGATTTGGAACAGCTGTAACAATGAGCTGCCCCTGCTTCCTTTGTGTCAGCATTAAAGGGGGTTGGATAATCTCAGTTTTATTTGGACACAGGGAATGGGGTCACACTGCCAGAGGGCAGGGATGGATGGGATGGGCCAGAATTGCCCTTTCCAGCCCAAACCATTCTGTGATTCTGGAACCCTGCAATGATGGCCTTAGAAAAAAAATGGAAACCAGCCAACTGTCTGGCACAAGGAAAACTAAACAGTTTAGAGTGTTGGGAGAAAACCTTGAAATTGAATTATCCTGCAGCACTTTTAAACAGAGCTGCTTAGAAAGTATTGTATTTTTTTTTCTTCCATTGACAGTAGCTGACAACTTCAAGGTTAAGTTGCTCTCTCAGTTAATTTCAGTTTTTATGTGAAGCACCAAAAATGCRAAGAGAACGGAGAAGATGTGACCACAGGGTCACAAAGCACTGAATAGATGCTGATTTTATTGTGTCACTCGCTGCATCTCCTTCTTACACAGACCTGCTGTGCCAYTGCTGTTTACTTGTTTAAAATGCTAATTCTTGAAACAAATTTAGGGGGAATCTTTCTATTTCCATGAAATTAGCGAGTTCAGCACAGAGAAGCTGTAACCAGGGATTAATGCAAGGACCAAAATCTGCAGACCTGGTTTGGTAGTCACAGCCTCTGTCAACGATTTTTCTTCAATTTACAAGTAATTTTTTTTCTCTATATGACTTGTTTTCCTGTCGCAAAGGGAGGGACACGACCTACTTAGGAACCACTTTTTTTTTTTTCTCTTTCCCTGTGTATAAAACATGCCATTATTATTTTTTGAAATCCAGGGCAGGACATGAACCCAGAGAAAGAAAGGGATGTGTGGATAGAAGTCCAACCCAATGTCAGTTATTACCAGTGAAGCCTGTGGCAGCTGCAATGCATCGTGAGGGCAAAACAAGAATAAAATGCAGTAAATCAATCCATTCATTCCCAGCACAGACCCAGAATTTTCCACGATTCTTTTTCCCCGTTAACGACTTGCTTTCCTAAAAGACTTGGAAATTCGGAAGGAGTAGATTTAATTATTCACGACAGGGGGTGAATAATAACAAATAACAAACAAATTCCAGCAAGGACTCTTGAAACTCGGGAAAGAAAAGAATGTTTATTAGCACACAGGCACAACAGCTCGCCTGGAATGCCTTACTAACAATACAAAGCAATACCTCAGGTCAAAAGAGAAGTTGCAATACATGCAAAAACATCCGGATTGTGCACTAAGTAACACGTTAGATATAGGTACATCTGCCAAATGAACACACGTCTACTGTCCTAGGCAACAGAACTCCAGACTACTTCAGGAATAAAGGTACAACAGAACAACCATCATTGAGCAGCATTTTGGACAAAAAGCTTCCTAGACAGAGACATTTGACCTTTGGAGGCAAAAACTGTAACAGGCAAATAGCTGAGAGCCAGATCCCCAAAGACRTATGAAAAGCTCTCGGTGAAGCCTAAGGTATCATCAGAATGAGGTCTGAAGGGTTTTGCCCTGGATGAGTAAAATTATCAGTGAGTAAAAATGTCTCTGTGGGTGAGAATGTCAAATCATCAAGATTTAATGTTGTTGCTAAGAGAGAAGGGAGGAGAAACTGAATATTGATACAAATAAAACAATGTCTTTGTAAAACCCTTAAAATAAATAAGAAACATGAAGGAAAAATTGGGATAATTAACATGTCCTGAAATGAAAATCAACACAGTTTAAGTTAATAAATAATTAAAATATTAAGTTCGTTTTTATCCTACAGAGCAATAATCAGTGTTAAAAACTAGGAAAGCAGAAAGAGAACAGGGACCTCCYCCTTACTCTAAAATCAGGGTGATCGGTGGCAGTTGTCACCTCTCACCACGACGCTACGTGTCTGTGTGCGACAGGACCGGCCGGAGGGGAGGGACAGAACAAACACACAGGAATTTGCCACGGCGAATCGCACGGGTTTGGTTTGCAGAGAGGTTTGCAGCGATGAGAAACTCACGGGCTCGGTCACGGACACAGCGCGGGGTGAAGGCTGGGGTGAAGGCAACTCTAACCCTGTGTGAGCGAGTGTGGAGCGCTGTCCGTGTCCTGCCGGGCTCGGGGCTCCGCCGGGGCTGGCGGGCGATAAAAAAACGCTTTATCCCCATCGCCGCCAGCGGCCCGGCCCTGCCCGGGAGGGACGGGGCTCACAAGGCAACGGGACAGGCGCTTCGGCCCTTCTGGCTCCGGGGAATCCTCCCTCGGCAGCGAACAGAGTCTGGGATGCTCCCGCATCCTAAAAAGACATCGCCGGGAGAGCCCAGAGGCAAACAGCGGGATGGGTGAGATCTCTGTGGGTGCGGGCTCGGCTGGACACGCTGGCCGAGCCTCGCACGGACCAAGTGCCTGCTGACCATGGCCTGCTGACCGTGGCCGCAGCCCGGACACACCGCGGGGCTGCGGCAGAGGCACTCGGGCCGCTCGCAGGTGGAGCCCGGGGCACAGAGCAGCACCGGCCGTGCTGCGGAACAGCTGCTCCAGATGTGCTCCTGGAGCCTCAGCCCCGCCCGGGGCTGCGGGTGACAAGGTGCACCCTCTCCTCTTCCTCTGTGCTTTGACAAAAGCATTGTATCCCCAAGCAAAAGCATCAACGCTGGCTGTCAGCACTCAGACAGTCCGGCCACCGCAATCGGTTCATTTCTGCTGCTGCTGTCGCTACAAGCAAAAGCAAGAATCCAACTCTGGTGATTCTCAAGCGGCACTTTGGCACAGGAGCAGGATGTGCTTTCCCGAGGGGCTGAGTGTCCCCGGGCAGGAACAGCGACACTGCGACACCGCGACAGCAGCACGAGCAAACAGCGAGACCCTGTGACCCCGAAAAGAGAGAGGGCGGATTTGGTACAGCGGGGTACGGGAACAGCAGCACTTCACAGCGTACAACAGACAGCTGGTACACCTCGTCAACAAGGAAACAATAAAAACCACTTAAAAGTCACTTTTTGGACCACATTTTCCCCGCTGCTCCGTTACTTCAAAGTCTTTTATGAAACTACTGAGCGGCAGCTGCTTTTGTACAGAAAATACACAGTTGGTGTTGTGGTCCAAATAAACTATGCTTTTTTTTTTTTTTTTTTTCTCCTCGTATCATGCATTGGGATGCAATCAGCTCCTTGTCAATCATTAGTCAAAAGAAACAAACACATTTTTTTACAACAAAAAGCTTCTATAAGTAAGATTTCTACAGCAATCATTAGCCAGAGCTATTTAAAGTGTTCCTAGCATTTCCTTCTCTCCTGCTGTCTGCTTCTCTAACAGAGGAATTTTGAGTATCTGTGACTCTTCCCCATGCAGTTATTTACAGGGAGATGGTCCTTAATGAAATTTACAGTTCTAAGGTACATTTGCAAATGCTCAGACAGAGCGGGCACACTGAGACACCACGAACAGAACGGAACTCATTGTGCAGCTCTGGGCCGGGCCAGCAACGTCATTAAAGTGCAAATAAAGACAAAAACCACAAGCCAGGCAGCTCCATTTTCCATCGCCAGCGCTAAGAAGCATCACAACTGTGTGAGTTATGTCAGATCAAACAGGCCTAAGTCACAATCTACTTTAAACTTCTGWCTCCCTGAGAGGATTTAAGGGAGGTATACGGTGATATAGCCCTATTTCTTCAACTGGCTGAGTATCATTGGAAAAGTAAGGACACTTTTCCAGCCAATTTTTGTTTTCAGCAGTGCTAACACCTGTGTTTTTTGTACTATGATACCCTTCAGAGCATTTGAGCTCGCTTCCCATGCAGCTACGACAGGCCACTCTTGATGAGGAAAATACAACAAATACCAACTACTGTAGAAATGACATCTACCTACCCCGTACGTCACAAAAGCAGGGGCTCTGCAAACATTTACAAACACCACATTTTCTCAAACATATGCAAGTGATAATTGCTAGCTCAGATAAAAATACATACTCTGTGTTTGCTGGCATTCACTGTTTGCCACTGACACSTTTGATTTTACAGATGAATCAGTGCCAAATGGCAGAACACACACACACACACAAAAAAAGGACGTTTTTCAAACCACCGACTCCACGTAAAACACAAGTGTCGCTCCAGCTCCGAGTGCTGATCACCAGCTGCTGYCAGACAGGCAGGTATTTCTCTCCACAGTGTGTCCAGAAAGTGCTCTGCGTCCTGACTCGTCAGGGAAGCTGCAGGAGGTGCAGAGAATAAAGTGGCTCTTGCAGAGCTGCGTGCAGGGGCTCAGCATCCCCTGCAGCACCCTCACCTGCCCGCCTGGCAGCTTTCACAGCTGTTCCTCCAGTCCATCTGCTCTCCACGCTGTGAATATTCTCGCTGATTTAAAAGGTATTTACAAATCTTTTCTGTAGATACAATCAGTCACCTTAGAGAAGGCTGATGAGACGTTTRAAGAAGAACATGTTTTATAGACAGTAGCATTAGATGTACAGCGGGTGTGGTGCTCTGAACAGCTGCAGATCTGATGTTACTAGATGCTGTCTTAGTATCACTCCAAAGTAGTAGATGACTGCTAAAATCCTGYTTTTTCAATGAAATTAACACAATATGAGGATGCCACAGCCATTACTGCCCCAGTGAACACATAGTTAGCCATCAACCCAGCCATCTCACTTTGCTTTTTTCTCCTAATACCCCTAAATACATTTACCACGATTTAAATCCGTACCCTTAACCTCTCATGTGAGATGGCTGCAATGAGTGCCTGTTCACAGGAAAGTCTCCTGATTTCCATTAAATCAGTCCCTAATGCCAAGCATGATCTTAGCAAAGCAGAAATCACTGAATGCAGGTAGGAAGTGTTTGTCTTTCACCCCCAACACTCATTTGCGTTGCCCAAGAGGAAAGCGCTGCGAAGCTCTGTATCTCTTATCCCAAAAGAGAGCTGGCATTCTTCTCAGGATTTTCCCTGCAGTCCCTAGGAGATGGCATGCATGGTGGTGAGTGTGCTGAAGCTGTGAGAAGGCTCGGGGGCGTCAGGCRGGGAGCCGGGGCTCGATTTTCAGCGAGAGCTCGTACAGGGTGTCCTCGTCCATGATGAGCGTCTTGTCCAGCAGGTACTGAGTGACCTGGGTGGGGAGACACACATGGACATGGGCATGGGACTGACACAGACATCTCACAGCTTTCCATTCCCTTTTGGCCCATTTTGGATGCTGAGATCCCCTCACGTTGCTTTGTTGAGAAACCCAACTTCCATCCATCCCACCCACAATTCCATCTCCTTGCAATTCTACTGGCATAAAGATGCACCTGCAGCACTCTGGGAATGAATTAGGAATAATTCCTCTGAGGAATGGGCAAATTCTCAGCCCAAGCTGCTCTTCTGGAGTCTGAGAGGAGCCTTGTCTGAAGGCACAGACCAGCTTTGGYCAAAGCTGCCTCACTCCWGAGCAGGACAAAGGGAAAAGGAATTGCAGAAAGCCTCAGCATGTGCTTGGGGCATCTCCTGACCCTCGTCCCAGCACCTCAGGGCAGGGAAAGCACCCCAGACCCTCAAAGGCTGCAATCCCCAGAGCCCTTCCAAAGGAGAAAAGTTCTTTCCAAGGCATCAAACCARGATTCCCTGCAGGGTGAGGGTCACAGCCCCCCAAGGACCTGTCTGTGTGTCTGTCTGTGCTCTCCTCCACGTGTGGGACCAGCACACACCCATTTCAGGTTCCAGCACAGGCAGTTGTGCCACAGCTGTGCTGTCCCAGCAGGCAGCAGCCTCTTACCTTCTGCTGGTGCTCGATGCGGTAGGAGCTCTGCTGGAACTGGCGGATTTCCCTGATAATGTGCGAGATCTTTCAAAAGAACACAGGGCTGTCAGTGCAACCACAGTTTGACTTCATCTAGCACACACAGAGCACCAAACCATTCCATTTAACTTGGGATGAGGGCTGGGAGCAAGGGCAAAGGTCATCTCCTAACAGCTCCCAGGACTTCACTTTCCCAAATCAAACTTCTCAGTCAGCCCCGGGTGACTCTCCTTTCCCCAAAATGAAACTTTCCTGCTCTTTGCCTCGAGTGACTGCTGCAGAGTGCAGCCCCGAAATGGGCATTAAGCTGAGATTAAAGGAGAAATTTCCCAGCCTCCCTCSGAGGAGTTGTTACAAAACAGCATTACATGGCAGTGGGAGAGACATCAACTTTAAAGTGCCTTTTAGATAGACCAGAGCACACTCTGAAAAGAACATTGTGATTACTGCTTCCTGGTGAATCACTGCATTCCTGTAATTCTGGTTATTTTGAAAAGCTTTTTGTTGCTCCTTCACGATCTTCAGGCAGCTGCTTTGGCTGTCATTTCTCAGGAAGTGAACTGGGGACAAATTCAGCCTGTGAARACACCCGGCTTGCCAGAAGGTGGTGACAGAAGACTGGGTCGAGCAATCGCTCTCGAGTCGCTGCCTCTCCTGCACAGCACCAAAACACCCTCGAAGCCACGTTCAAAGGAGTTCTAATGAAATCCTCAATTAACACACACCATTAAACACCTGTTGTCGAAGCGTTTAAGAAACTGAAAATTACCATTCTCATTTTGGAAAAATTGACAAGGCCTTCCTCAGTGAAGTTGGGTGTTCCTTCCTCGATAAATGCCAGGTCGGTCAGGTACATCCCAAGGTAGGGAACAGCAGGTGGGTTACAGCTGTAAATTAACAAATCAGCTTATTTCTCTGTAGTTATATTTACAAATGCATTTTTTTTTTTCTAACTCACACAAACTCTTCATTACTTTGCCCATTTCTAATCAATGGGATGCTTTCATTCCCAGGACAAACGAGCTCTAACTCTGCTTGAGTTGTGTTTGCTCTGCCATGACAAATGGAATGCGTTCTGTCCAACATCTAATATTAATGGCATTTTTTAAAATAAACCATTCATTATTCTGGCAGTTCAGTTCTTKGCTTCTCTCAAAATCACTTGAAGTAGTTAATGCCACTTAGTTTTGAAAAGCTGCTTCCAATTAGAAAACTCACAAAAAAATCAGGTTTTTGTACAGCTAGAATCAGAACACAAAYTGTAGGACACTTGACATGGAATATCCTGGATACTAGAATTACAGAATGTCAAACACAATCCAGCAAATCAGTTAAGGAAAACAATATTCAAGGACTACTGCACAAAAGAAGMAGGCTGTTTTACAGCAGGCTGGGAGGAGAAACACTATCCCTGTGCCTTTGTCCTGTCCCTATGTTCCTCTCAAAATCTGTTTTCAGAAACATAATTTATTGTCATATGAATGGATCTGTGACCTGACATAGGCTTAGTCCCAAGCCCGAAATTTCTTAACTAGAACAATCCTGTTTTTCATAAAAATTTTTAYTTATAAAGCCRTCTTTACACTTATTGGAAAAGTTTWTCAGTGTAAGTAAARCCCCAACAGGGAACGTTCACATAGAAAAATAGTTTAATTTGTTTCAGTAATTTGCTGGAGCTGCTATGTTTAGCCATCAGGGGTGTTAAATCACAGAAYATTCAGCAAAACAGTAACACCAAATAGAACCACCCTMGAATTAAAGAAGTTATTAGGCAAAAAATATATTAATTATTAAAGCTTAATCAAAGCAAATTGATGTTTAACATGAACTATCCACTGCTTGTAACAGAAMAGAGTTGTATAAATTAGGGAGGCATACTTTTTGAGCATTTCTCTCAGGTTCTTAAATCTTCCTTCAGATGACACAGTCTTCTGAAGCTTGTCCATGAGAGCTTTTGTCTGGAAASAAAATGCATGGCAAATTTCATTGCTGGTTCACAGAAATGACTGGRATTAGATTGTAGCAAAGGTGTAATTCACTTAGCATCCCCATCCCATTTTCAAAAGGAATTAAACGGGCGTTAGGAATTTAGCTTTACTGCAGCTCCTCCTCTCTTTCTGCAAATGGAGATTAGGCAGCATTAAAAATTTTCYTGTGAGTGATAAATACACAGAACCTGTATTCATGCTAGTATTATTACCCTGTAAATTGAGGAATACCTCGTGTTTATTGAGCTTGAGCTCCTAAATGAGAAAGAAGACTTTTTATTAATGGCCAGGAATTCACTTTGCTGTGCATGCCAGAAATGAACAGATCCTACATGTTGCTGAGGATCCTCAGCTGCATTTACTGAATTTTTGGTGACAGCAAGAAGTGTTCACTGCCCTGGAGCTTGCACTGAGCTGATTTTGCCTCCAAGTYCCAGATAAAAGCAGAGTATGTAAATGAAAACATATTCCTGTGTTACACAAATCACTTTCAGTGGGCATCATCAGACCCTGGTTTCTTCTAAAGTGAAATAAATTTGCTTTGCAGCCTGTTCATGAAAAATTATGAGAAATTCATCATATTTGAAACTGAATTTCCAATTAAGAGAGAGCTGTAGGCAGGCAGATTCACTTTGTTGTGAGTAGCTGGCTGATGAAAAACCCAGACTGCATTCCCAGTAGGTACCAGAGGATGCCACAGCACCAGCCTGCTGTGGTTTTTTTCATTTGAATTGAAAAGTGTRAAAAATCAAACGAATCCTATCCATAAAACCTTTTGGAGGTAAATTCATTTATAACAGTTTGTATTGAAAGGATTTGTAACACTTTTTTAAATGGAAGAACACAGCAGCTGAGAAAACCTGACTGGAGATGGTGGTAGAGYCAGAATGTATTTTAATTGTATTTCTCAGAACCATATTTCACAGAACATAAAAGAATGCTTTATCTGTGTCCTGACTGGCCTTTTTTTCACATATGTCTTGTTTTGGTGGCTGGCAGTCATTCTCACAGTTTGGCTGACATTCTCAGCAGCCAGGAGGGGTTAAAGAGAGGAGTTCACTGCACCTAAACTTCACTCCTAAATGAGAAAGAATGAAGACTTTTTATCAACTGTCCCCTACTGGGTAGCAAAAATTTCACCAATTTTAAATGTTCTGACCTTCCTACAGGCTTTCTGCACAGGCAGCTCCTCTTTCAGGCACCTGACCAGACTTTAACAAGAGCKTGTAACCACCCAGATGTGTCTACCAGAAAACATCTAGATTTAGTTAACTTGGACAGTTGAGCACTTCAGACTTTGGCACCTGCAAACTAGATTTGTAACAGCTTGTTCCCACAGATAGAAAAATAAAATCTAATACCTGGAGAGGAAATGCCAGTTCCACATGAGGGAAAATCAGCAATATTTACAGAAAGGCTCCTCTCTGAGCCCCTGGACACAGTGACTGATAGAAGCTGGACACCCCACCCTCCTCACCTGTTTGGAGACCTTCCCCCAGGTTTTCTTGAGCCTGTAGATGGCACTCCTGTTGAGGGCCGAGGTGATCTCCAGGACCCCGTTGTAGTTGTGCAGGCAGCGGCAGATGTCGGCCACCGCCACCCACTTCTCGATGGCGCTGGCCCGCGAGGGGACGTCGGCGTAGCTCATGATCTGCGAGGCCACCAGGTTGCTCATCTGGCCACAGAGAGAGGCAGGCACTTAGGGAATGGGAGCACAAACCCTTCTGAGACATAACTGATTAATGGGCAAGGTGGAAATCCCCCCAAGCAGGCATGAGAGAAATGATGGCTCTTGAAAAACCTGAGGAAAGCACGTTGGAAACAGAGCTTGAGGCAGGTGGAGGGAATGGTGAYAGCAAGGAAGGGTTGGGATGCAATGGGAAAGTCTCCAAAACATCAGTGAAAAAATGGATTAGGAAGTCTATCCGTAAAATTCAAGGAAAATGATAAAGAGCAAAGACATCTTTAAACCCCTAAAGACATTCGTTAAATAGAATTGGCGTTACATTCCACTGGAGAAAATGCAGTTCCTTCAGTAGGCAGAAAGGCACTGCACTACAGCTTAAAATGTTCTTCCCCCTTAAATTGATGCTGAAATGCTGAGTCACAATTATTGGAAACGAGACTCTTCATCTGCTTTGATTTGAAAGGTTAATTGCAAACAGGCTGCAACATTCAGTCACCACCAGATAACACATTACATCACACTGCAACAAAACCCAGTACTTTTGTTCCAGAGGTCACAGACAGTCCATAGGGCTCCTAGAAAGCAAATCTGTACTTGATAGTACTTACATCATTAAAATGTTGACTGGTTTTCATAATATAGGGCGTTCTCTCATTTTTATCCACTTTCATCCAGCCCTGCCCAAGGAACTCTCTRGATATTGGTGGGAGAGAAAAAAGCAAACAAAAACAAACTTTACATTCTTTACAAACACAGCCCAGTCTGTTTGCAACCACAGCCTAAGCAGATTTCAAGGATACCTCAACTTGCTAGAAGCTAATAACACAGATTTACACTAATTCCAGCGTTTCACDATACCGTTTTTAATGCTGTCTGAAATGGTAAATATTGTAAAGAAGATTTATTTTCCTCTTAACGCTGCACTCTCCCCCATCACCCCGTGGTAATTTGCAGCTGTTGGTGCCCACGCCWTCCTTCCACGTGGGCAGAGCTGGGATTTGGGGTGTGGCAGCCCCAAGGGTGTGGCAGCCCCAGGGGTGTGGCAGCCCCAGCGCCACTGTCACCACCCCAATGTGACACTCACTCGTAGGGGATGCTGCGGAACACGACGTGGTCCAGCAGGGTGATCTGCTCCGCCAGCTCCATGGCCGACAGCGTCTCGAAGCACTCGGGTTTGGGGCAGTCTGGCTGCAAAAGCAAGGGGAGTGCTGAGGGCTCTGTCCGTGTGCCAAATCACAAAATTTTGACATGTTCATTTTTGATATGGGCCCCAAATTCTTACAATTTCTAAACTGAAATGGACATTTCTGGTATAAAAGAACTGTGTTTCTGTCCAGATATACTTGACCAGTTGCAGTTGTGTTACATTTTATTGACCCAAACCCACAACATTTATCTCGGAGTATTTAYGTTTAACTTTCAAGATGAACTTACCATCTGAATGATATCCTCTATTTTCAAATGGTTATCATCTTGATCATCCTGAGAAAGAGTCCTAAAAAACCAAACAGCAGAACATCCTATATAAATAACATTGTCCATGGTCATGAGAAAACCTTATCATAGATCAGAAAAATGGTTTATCTAAAATAAATCCTCATACTGCAATTCAGGCCATAAAGAAGAAAAAAATCTGTTACCTAAAACTCATGTCTTGCTTTAAGCAAAAGTGTTACAACATCAGAGGCATGTAAGGTAAAATATTTCCAAGGAGGCTGAAGATTTTTCAGCTAGTGAATCCTGGAAATTGTCCTTTACAGTGCCCCACACAGAGCTCAGTGTGTGGGAATGGACAAAAAACTGCAGCTTTTACCTGTAGCAAGGACATGATTTTCTTTCAGTAACAGAGGTATTATTGAGTGTTTCCAATTCTGTCACAGAAAACATATGATTATTATGTTTATCTCAGAGTAATGGGCTAAAATTTAACCAGGGAAAAGGAAGTATTGATTGAACACCATCTACCCTGATGTATCATATTGGCACATAATTACAAGATCACACCCCTTCATTTGGAAAGTACAGGCTCAAAGAAACCTTGAAAACATTGGATTTATAAGATAYAGGAGTGAGAATATTTAGGGAGAAAGAAGGTGAGCCAGAATGTGCTGGGTTGGTTTAGTTTTAGTTTAGGGTTTGGTTTTAGTTTAACACCCAGGTGTAGGGGCAGGCTCTCTGCAGAGAGAGGGTGCAGAACTGCAAATTCCTCAGCTGAATTCCCAAGGYCAGCTCAGATGGGGGTTCCCAAAGCTGTGCTGATGATCCAGAATGCACAGCCACAATAACAGGTCCCTGCAGCTCCTCAGCACTGCCCTCTCACACAAAACARGGACAGGGTGAAGGGGAAAGAATCCCTTTGATTGGAGCTTTCACCTGGCAGTGTGAGACGTGAATTTGTGCCAGGGGGGTGTGCAGGAAGCTGTAATACCCAGCACAGGTTCTTCTTTGGTTCCTTCTTCATTTGCCCAGCTGAGGGTCAGGCTAAAATCAAATGCAGACACACAGGATCTAAGAAACCTCCTTCCCTCCATCTGCAGCCTTCCAAATCCACACAAAACACCTTTTCTTTCCTCCACAAGGGCTGGAAACACCTTGTGTCTGCTGGGTGAGATGTGTTTACCTCCACAGGAGAGCCCTAAGCTTCTTGCTGAGATAAGAAGGGAGTGCAGTCCCCGTAAATAGCCTGAAAATCTGTCTTGCAGAGCAGCTTATTTTGTGCCGTGCCTCATGGCTGGGTGCCTGCAGGAAGGTGCTGCTCACCCTGTGACAAGAGYCTCTGGCAGTAAAAAACAGACAGGCCCTGTCCCTCTGCCCCAGGAACTCTCATCAATCTTGTAAAACTCATCATCTGAGTTATTTAAATATAACTTTCTTTTGGACAGGGCTCTCACTTTTCATAGAGCAATTATTGTATTTGCTGAATATGGAATGAAATATGAAAGATGGGATTCTTGAAAGATGGGAAGCAGTTCACTTTTCACTACCTTTGCTTCCTGATAATCTCTGCAGTGACATCTCCTGTTTCATGTAGACTTTCAACCCTCATTCTAAACAGATGTTCTTTTTCTAGCACAGTGGCCTCATGAAAAAAAAAAAAAACAGAACCAACTCTCCTTTTCACCACAAATATTCCACCATTAAATCTGCAGAAGATAACAGATCTGTTACATTTGATAAAGCTATTTTTTTTTTTTGATAGCATCATCAGCAGCTTCCATTCAGTCTGTGCTGTTGCCAGCTTTGGGAAACCCAGTTTTGATAGAGGTCTGGGAACACACACTGGGCTGACCAGCCCTGCTTGGGCAGCTCCTTGGAGAGCTCCTGGGGGCTGAGAAGAAGCAGATCCATGTGAAAAGCATCATCAGAGMAAGTAAAGGCACACAGAGACTCTCCTGGACAGTGCCGCCAAATGGGGCAACACCTCCAGTATACCTGGAAATAAAGGGACTAAATAGAAAAGAAATAGCTTGCCAATTCTTAGAATCTGCAGTGAAGATTAGCTCTCTGTGTCTCTCTTCTTCCTGCCTGACCAGTCTGGGTATTAAAATAATTTTCCAATTGAAAACACTAACATGTGTCTCCGTCTTCCTTTATGGAACATAAAGCATTCAAAAATACTTAAAAGCCTGAAGAGAGCCTGAAATGTGTTGTTTGGTGAGATGTGAGATCATACAAAGCAGAAAATTTGTTCATCCATCACGTTTTGACATCTGCATGTCCCTGGGCTTCATTTATGTTTAGTCTGAGGAACAAGAAGGAAGAGCTATTTCTTAAAGCACCCCGTTTTTCTCCAGATAGGATTATTTATCAAAGTTATTCATTGCTGYTCAGTCTGAATTTACACCTTCCTGCTTCATTACCAATTAAATTTYATCTAAGTCTGAGGAGTTAGCAAATCAGGCTGACAAAATCTCAAGCAAAACACACATTGATAGGTTTGCCTAGCTTTCAGAACAGATCCCGAATAAAAGAAAGCTTTTTTACCCTGAAGAGAAACCCTGTCAGTCCACACAACAGAGATCCCATCACGCAAGAAATACCAGCTGCTCGGTTTGATGACTCAAGGCATGAGGCAGCTCAGCATCTCCCATCAGCATTTTCCTTGTCATTCATATTCTAAACAGAGCCTTTCCCAGAGCTGACCATGATATATCTTTGGAACACAAACCAACCTCTCCTCTTGCTCTGATCTTCACTAACAAGGGGCTGGATTTTCCAGGAAATAATTTTCTTGGAAAAAATTTTCTCTGGACATACACGTGCATGCATTCAGAGGCTGGGGCAGTTTGTAAAAACATGTATTTTTACCCAATAGCTCTCAAAGACACATTAAAAACACCAATGTTAACTATTAGAAAGCATGAACTTTCTTTCACAAATGTTTGAAACTGAATTTTTGACAAGAAACGCTTCTTCCCAAGCCCATTCTGCATTTGTCAAGTGTTTCAGACTCAAGAGTACACTACAAAAACTGAGATGTCTGGAAGCCAAGGCCTCCCAGAATTCTGACAGAATACATGTTTTAGATAAAATGCTTATGGCAAGCACCTAAGAAAGAACACAGAAAAGCTCTATTTTATGGCACTCACTTAGCAAGTGGGTGAGTGGCTATTTTTATGATGGCCACATCACCTGGCTTACTGCTTCCCATTTCAACCTGTCCCAGAGAAATCTTCTGAATGAAACTTCCATCAGAATTTTCAGTTACGGCAGATCTGTGCTTTCTTATGAAAAGCATGCTGTCAGATGTCTTCAAACAAATTGATTTCTTGTAACAGCAAAAAAAAAGCCCTTCAGTTCCAGGTAATTTATATGTCCCCTGTCAGTAATACTGCATGAAAGGTCTCAATTCAGAAGAAAACCAGAAAGGTGACATCTCTCAAAGGAGCAGGGAACAGGCTGAGCAGCTTTTCTCCAAAGAACATTGGCATAAAGCAAGAGAGGAACACACAGCTGGAAAACTTGTTCTGCAAGAGAACAGACCCTCTTTAGGTGCCTTTAGGACATCCAGGGGTTCACAGGGAGTCACCACCTCCGCTCTGTAACTGCCAGGGAAGGAAGGAAGGATGAAGAGGAGGAAGAACAGGATGCCTAATTCACAGAATTTTGGTGCAGAGGATCTCCTCCATGGCAGGGAGTGACTGTGGCAGCAGTGCTGCATTCCCTGTCTGCATTTTGTCTTGTGTGTTGGTGCCTCAGGCAAACACAGGGTCCCACCACACGGCTCTTTAGTAATTAAACCCTTCATTATGGCCCTTAGAAACAAAGCAGGGCTGAWGGAACTCAGGAGACAATTTTTTTCCACTGCAGGCCTTCTGTCAATGCTCAGAACATTGACTTTAAGCAGACATGATGCAGAGTCCCCAGACTGATGCGGAAAAGGCAGGAGGATGCTGTGGGAGGGACCCTGCAGGTCGTGGTCACTCTTGAGGTGAGCTCAGCAGCACCTCGGCCTGAAGCTGAGCAGTTCTGGGTCAGCAGGAACACAGTTCCCTCCTGGGGAGAAGAAACAGCAAGAACTGTCCCATTCTGGGGAGAGCAGAGCAGATTCAGGGCTTGGCCTGGCTTGCTGAGCCTCCCACAGCACCACGAGCACGGGGAAGGAACTCCAGGCTGACACCAAATCCTGCAGCATCTCATCCTCCTCCTGCACCACTGCAGCACTTCTGTTCCAGTGAAAATGGACACAGAGCTTTGTTCCTCTGGACTGCAAAGCTGTTTTCCATCAGGCTTTGTGCAGTTGTGTTGTCACACAGGATGCAGGCAGGTCAATGTCATCTCTCCTGACTCTGATAGCTTCTCGTTTTTCATGAAATCAGAATTGTACAAGGACCTTTTCCACCTGCCAGAAAAGCTAAACCCACTGCCAGAGTCTATTCCCCCATTTTATATAGTGATTATTCCTGAGTTGARTTGTCCAAGAGCAGCTGGTTGTGCYTCTGAATCCAGCTGGAGGAGCAGAGGGACATGGGATGGTTCCAGCACTGAGTGCTCACAGTCTCCACAGGACAGCAGACCCTGCTTACACCAGCAACTCAACCAGGGGTTTCTAAAGCTTATAAATACTCCTATTTTAATGATTGCAATAGAAATTAAGGACTGTGGAAGAGCAAAGGAATGGGCACATGAAGTTACTCACAAACTGCAGCTTATTCCCTGTATCCTGTAATTCCCTCTGCTCACTCAGCTGTGCAGCCTCACCGAGAGCCTGTGWCTCCAGCAGGAATTTCAGTGCTTTCTAAACCTGGAAACCACTCTTAATTTCCACACATTTCTCCAAGGTGATCTAAACACCTACCCCTTCCAGTGAAAGGGTAAGAAATAGTATTGAAATTTAATTCACATTCAAACGGGATTTAAATATTTTATATCAAATTGTGCAGCATCCATGTATGTTTAGCAGCGCTGCCAGCCTTGAAAAGCAATAAAGATGTTTATAGGCAAGGCTAAGGAAAAAAATTGGGTTTTTTTCTTTCTTTTTTCCCTTTGCAAAAGAAATAGAGCATGAAATTTCAGAGAATGGTCAAAAAGTCATTCTGAAATTTTGGAAAAATTCTGAAAACTGGAATTCTAATGTGTTCATTGTTGTATCTGCCAGTGCTCTCAGGTACTCAATGATCACTTCCAGGAGGGAGGACAGGACAAACAACAAAAACCATTTCATTCAACAGCAGTTAAAGGATACAAACGGAGACAATTCATAGTTTACACATAAATAAAAAGGTCAATTTTTTGATGCAACTGCTAATTTGAAACCAGGTATGGGAAATTGTTGAACAATTTGTATGGTAAATGCCTATAAATCCATCCCATCACCCTGCCAGAAACAGAAAATCCAGGCTCATTTTCAAACATTTTCTTAAGAAACTGAAAACCTTAAGGTAATTTTTTACACTGTGAACAGAACTTTTGCTGTCACACACACTACCAAAACCCATGTCATCCTCAGCTTTCTTGCTCTTTGGCTGGCTGTTTCTTTCAAAGAAACACATGAAACAAACTTAATATTTTTACTTGGAATATAGCAGCACACACAGTATTATTAAAAGAGGGATTGTTTTTATTTATGTAGGAAGAAAGATGCTTTTAATAAGAACTTGTCTGTGTTCATTACATTTTGTTTGATATCTCTCCTCACAACTGAAMAACTTTTCAGCCATTTTTTCCATGTCTCGGTGGAGAAACCTGTCAAAGAGTCTTAGAAAATTCTATTTATTCTTAGGCATATTCTGTTTATTGCTTACCTGCAGAGTACTTACAGAAATATTCACAAAGCACACCATGGATTCACCTATGTTTTTTCACGGTATTTTATTTTAATTGCTTCTTAGTTTTTAAATGTTTCAACTAATGTATTTATTTAATCGCTTCTAACTCTTTAAATGTTTACTGCTCCTCAGTAATATAGAATGATTTACATAAAAATCAGTGGCAATAAAATATTCACACTCATTAGACAAAGCTGTTTTTGCTGATACCTGAGGACTGAATTAATGTGTCTGGGCTGTTCTGCAGCCAAGTTTTCCAGTACAGGTATTTTTATGAGTGAAACTTAAAACAGGCTCTGTTTCATGGCTCATAAAACACTCAGTAATCCTTCAGAATTAAATCCTCTGGAGAAAAAACCCAGCCCTGTGAATTCCAYGATGCACAGTCCCCCAATTATCTCATGTGCCACAGTTAAAACGTGAAACCATAAGAAATTAATTTACCTCAGTATGTTTGCAGTGGCTTTCCTTTCCTGTGGCAGAAGGTCAGGGTCTCTTAAAACCTCCTCCAGCAAGTTTAACACATTCATTTTCAAGTCGTTGTTCAGCTCAAAATCCTAAAAAGACGAAAAATTTACGTTCTTTTGTCTTGATAGCATTGATCAAGGAACTTGAAGGATGTACTTTAATGAGTTTGGGGGTATTTTTTCCTGTTAGGTYTGTATTTTTTTTTCTTTTTAAGAGTATTTTAAATTTTTTTTAGGGAAAGTTGTGGTAGTGAATTGGCCACAAAAGTAGGCCAATTAGTATTTTAGTAGCCAAAATACTGCACTTTTTCTCCTTTCTCACTTCGTCCTCTGTGTGGAGATGGGTTCATCAGTGAACCCTTCTTTCCTGAATTAACATCTGAATCTGACTGAGACCCACAACATCCTCTCCCCTCTGTGTTTAAACACAGTTCTGACCAGCCAGGCAGGACACTGGGCTTCCTCTCACTGCTTTTTGAGTTTCTCTTTCATCTGCCTCCTATGCTAGTATTTCTTATCTCATACCCACCCCGCTGGAAAGATCTGCTTTTAGTGGAGTATTCGAATTAGTAAATTCACTAAATCAGCTGATTTCAGCAGGCCCTGCACTGAAAAGTATCAGCAATTTCACTGCCTATGGGACACACTGATACCTGACACAGAACCTGAGGCAATTCAGGGACATGCAACAACCAATTATGCTGAATTCCAATTTTGCAGAAGTCAGAAGAGTAGAGTATTGGATATTCTGTTATCATAGATTGTACAAGCTTTAAGCTAGGAAGTTAGAGGCAAGTCTAGGAGTAGGCTCCAAAAATTCTTGTACTCAGCTCAAAGCTAGAATTCTGATAAGAAAAGCAAACCCAAAGCCTTCAGTTGCCTGGTGCATCAGAGACCTTCCCTGATAACCCACAGCTACTTTGAGCAGGACCATGTGTGTGCAGAGCTCCTTTTCGTTTCCATGGGAACAGGAGGCACCAAGTTATTGAAAATGGAAATWTGTGGCACCTCTGCACAAGAGGCTCGTGTTTAATTTCCAAAGAATAGCACAGCCCCTCCTGTGGWGAGGGGCTCTGGAGATGTGTGCCCTGGGAGCAGCCCTGGTGAGCACACACCCCRCTGTGGGAGCATCAGAGCACTCCCACGGGCACAAAGTCACCTGAAAACTCATTTGGGACAGGGGTGAAAGAGTTCAGACCAGGAGGAGAGCGAGGGCTGATTGCAGGAGGACAAATTTTGTGAGGAAAGTGGTTGTTCCAACCTCAGCACTCAGAGATTCCCTGCCCTGGGAATTTCCCTCCTGTAACACCATCCCACCTTCACTCTGCAAAATTTTCCTCACCTGAGCCTCAGATAATTAATGTGTGCAATCAATCAATCAATCAATCAATCAATCAATCAATCAATCAATATCTGTGTCCTGTGACATATATCCTTTTTAAGGGTGTTGAAGAATAGGAAGCTGCAGCCTTAAGCTTTGGATGGGGTATCAAACATTCAGCACAAAGCCAAGCAAAAATTATTTCTGGGCACTGCAATGTGTTTGTTTTCTAAAATACATTTTGTGTAGCCAACGCTCTGAAATGCCTCCCTTAGGAGCTGATTTTGCCTGTTTGCAAGAGAAGAAAAGAGAATCTTTTCATATATTAAGGGTATGGAGATGGGACTAATTAGAGAAAACATGAAGAATGTAAGTAAACTAAATGACAATACTGTCCACTCCAGTGATTTCAAAAAGAAAATAATTTGAAAAATAAAACTATCAAAATTTAGTTAAAGGAGAAACCTCGAGTCTGCACAAGCTGTAGTGACCAGAATTAATATCAGTGTTTGTCCTGCAGCTCAGAGGCAGATGCTGTATAAAAGGAGCTGTATTTTTTACAATCTGGGCTACAAAAACATCCTAAATGAGCAGAAAACTGTGCAGGAGGTGACACATTCTCCATCCTCACTCAGCATTCCTGGATAAATTCTGGATAAATAGATCACATCTACGTGGTCAGGATTTTATCTCCAAGCACAGCTTTCCAGCCACAACTGGTTGATTCTGTCCTTTATCAAATATTTTCTCTCAAGATGTCTTGCCTCATTGAACCAAACTTGTGACCAAAAAAACCCTAGAACTTTTAAAAGTTCTTACATTTGCAAATAGGATGGGGAAGACTCACCTATGATTATCAGATTCAGCCAAACCAAAGCAATTCCAGTTTTTGTATGTTTGCATGCTAATTCTTATAATAATGGGAATTAATAAATTGGTCATTAACTGCAAAACTTGTTTTACTGAGCAATCTCCACAAGACAGCAGTGCTGGAATTGCCAGGGAGACTCAATTTTGTGGTTTTCTTTTTTAAAGCAATGCCATCTGCTTCTTRGAATGTAATGAGAAAAAAATATGAAAAAAAAAAGGTGGGAACCAGAAGAAAAATGAAGAACTCCTTTACCAGTGAAGGTCATTATCTAAGTGGTACTGAGATTCCAGTGTGATGAGCAATATATACCAAAAAAAGGTAAAATATTGCACTTAAACATGTACACGTACTTAACTTTTATGAAGAAAGGTTAAAATAAGAATTATACAAATACCAAAATACTTAGCAACCAATTCTAAGTGTAATTTAAAAATAACAAAATAACTAAACACGTGTGGATTGTATCTATCTGTCCCATGGGTGTTACATGTGAATATTTATTTGTTTATACTACAGGACACTTYGATCCACAGGTAGCTATTTATGGCTCTAGATGAATGTGCATCACATCTCTCTACATCTTTTTACACCACTTTTTTTGACTTCTAGTTGACATTTATATATCACAGAAGGAATACAGTTGGTCAGACAAGAATCATTCAATTTTCCAGCAGGCACATTTCAATTTGACAATGGTTTGGCTCTCGGTGAGAGGGTCACATACCTCTAATATATTTTAGAGTCTACAGTAGCCTAAAGGTTTGTGGGTATAACTCAGATTTGGAGTCACTGGCCAGAAAAAAAAGAGAAGCAGCAGCAGCAGAAAGCCAGGAAAAACAAACAAACAAACAAACAAACAAACAAACAAACAAACAAACAAACAAAAACCAACCAAAAAAACCAACAAAAAAAACCCAACAAAACAAACCAAAAAACCCAAACAAAAACAAAACCAAAAGAATAACTGTGCTACAGTGCCTTTTTAAACCAGAAACAGTAGATTTACTGCCTGTGGTTTATATAGAGAATATATTTTCAAAATTTGACATGAGCTCAGTGAAAGCCCAGAAKCTTTTCCTCTCCCCTTCCTTTAAATCTTCCTCAGTGAGACAAAACATTCTGCATCTAAACAATGTGAGAACGCTGAATTATCCAGACAAGTAAAATGGAGTTAAAACATGGGAACCTGGTTTATATTTGGGTATGCCAGTGAGAGGGACTACAGAGGGACAGGAGGGAGGGAAGAAAGAGGAGGGGAGAGAGACCTACTGGAAAAAGACTGTTTGCAAGGAATCTGGAATATTTTTGAGTAGATGGGGATTGCCTTACAATTTTCATGTATCTGTTGTCATGCCAAAAAGGAAACAGGTGATTATTTCAATGGCAACAATTGAGTCTAAATGTTGTGCACAGCAAATCAAAGAGTTAAGCTACTCCAGTGTTAACAATATTTARTTTTGAAGCATAAAAACACACTTCACAATCGTGTTCAGCTAAATCCGGATAAATTTGTATGCAATAAAACTTTGACAGAGGTGTCTATTTTAACTACAATGTAGTTAAAATGTGGTGTATCTGGTTAAGTGTGGCTTAAGTGTAATTYATTCACATTTCTGCAATAAGGTTAGTATAAACTCATCAGATATCTTACTCATCACTTTTTGCCATTTATTATGAGCCAAGTGGGGCTCATATAAAGGATTTTCTATCTATTTTTCATCCCAGTRAAATGGAAAACAATGGAATGGGCCAATCCACGTGCGCTGACATCGTTTTTAAGTAAAGGAAAGCATCTCAGCTTGGACAATCCTCTGTATCCAGATGTTTTCCCCATTCCTCACCTCTGGCAATCTTCCTGCTGAAAACTCACCACAGGTCCGTGGGTAGGGCCATGAGAATGAGCTGCTGTGGGTAATTTCACAGCTGGAAACAGGCAGGCATTGGGCACAGATCATGATCTGTGTGCTCAAAATTGAAACCCGTCCTCTCCCCAGGCCTGGTGGTCACTCTGTAACTCACTGACACTGTCTGGCAGCCAGAGAATTTGTGAGAGAATTATTCCAGCTGAGATCTTCAAAGAAGGCAGTGGGAATGAGCCCTCAGCTGCCACTCAGAACTGGGAGCACTGGAGAGGCCAGATGTGAAAGCTTTCTSCTTGGACAAGCTCCACTTTGATCTGCTKGCCACAGGAGCAGAAAAAGCTTCAYTTTTTGTAACATAAGTGTTTAGATAAAAGACAAGGAAGTATTTTCAAATAAACAAGGCTGCAAGATCTTGCTGGGATAATGGAAGTCATACTGAGATTTTCCACCYCCGGACCCCTTTTGCCTTCCTATTTTTCCACCTCTGGAGGAGCCAATTGGAGTTTTATCCTCATGAGCCCTCTCTGTCCCCAWCAATGYTMMTGYCCCCAGTGATCCTGTGCTTTGTCATTTGTGTGTTCATTGTTTATTTTGTTATATGTTATGTTAATTGTTACATATTTTGTTACATATGTTATATGTATTTTGTTATATATTTGTTATATGTTTTTTTCAATTACACTGCAAAAACAAAATATAAACACCAACATTCTGCTGCTATTTAGGCCAAAAAGAAAGCTTTGCTGCCTTGCAGGTGTCTGAATGAAAAAAAGAGGAGGGATATGGAATGAAAAGGACAAAAATGTAAACAAAACGATCTGCAATACCTAMAGGTGCCTTTCATTCTGCTCTGGCTGAGGATCAGCACAGGTTTGGCTACTCTTGCACAGGGTGGTAAAAACAAGAAAGTAAATGTTACTCCACCTGGAGTCGGTTTGTTCCCAAACTTTTATCTGTGTCTTGAGAGCCCCTGGGGACTTTCATTCGTTTCTTGTGCCCTCCATAAATGGCTGCAGATCTGGCCCTAACACCTGTACCTTTATTTGGAATTTTAGTGACTCTCCTGCAGTGTATGACCCAAGTTTTTAAAGCAATGAATGCTTT